TAAAAGAAAATTGCGGTAACGCGTGCTACGCGATTTTACGCGTTTTAGAAGAATCGGTCGCTTGATTCCGCGTCGATTCGATATCGTGGAAGTCTCGCGGATTTGGAATTTTGATTTTTGTTTGTATTTTGGAACCTAGGCGGCATGCGGATTTCTTTTTCGTATAAACATTGATGTAATTGACTGACTGCCGATTTTTTGGATATACAAATAAAAGTAAATGAAAGCATTCTGGAAACAGTTGAAGAATATTTTATTGTGTAACTGTATCGCTGTTCGTTGTTATCGATGGTTTACATTTGAAACGTTCGTTTGTTGGTCGATATATAATAAATCTCTCCCTGCTTGTTCGTATACTCGTATCAGAAACCATGAGATCACTGCTCTGCACGATTCTTTGGAAACCCTTGAACCGAAGCGTCAATCCGCTCGAAGAGGCGAACACCGGTTGTTTCGCGATTTCGCAGAGAAAGTGACGCAACAATTATATCAGCGTCCGCGGAGCGGTTCGTGCCAGCGTTTCGCGCCAGTCGCTTTGAAAATGCTTGACAAATTACAATTATCCGAGTCGCGATGAAACTCTCGTCCGGCCATAAACACATCAACCGTGTTCGCACGGGCTGCTTCGGTTTTCCTTTGTGTCAGAACGCGGGCGCATTATCGTTCTGAATTATCGCCGTTTATTCGGGGACCCGAAGGGAAACTTCTCGGGTGAAGCCGAAGTTCGATAAGTCGGGAATTCCGTCGGCGGCGTCGCGCCTGCTCTGAAATAAAAGCGATCGTGACCACGAAAAGTCCGTGCGTGTATCTGTAACGCGTCTTCGTTTCTCTATTCTAGGCCGTGCGTAATCCGATCGGGCACGAGGGAGGTACACAATAAACTGGAGAAAAATCGAAGAGCGCATCTGAAGGAATGCTTCGAACTCCTCAAGAGGCAGTTACCTTCGCAGGACGAGAAGAAGTCTTCGAATCTTTCCATTCTTCATGCGGCGATCAAGCACATACAGGTACGTGGAACGTCCGCGTCCCCTTCGACCGATACAACCACCGCAAATTTTCCGAAATTTAACGTTCCCTTTGGAATCGATCGGGATTTGAATTTTTCATTCGATTCGAGAAGTCGTAATTACTGTTACCCGCACGGGAGAACAAAAACAACATCCTCTGCAATTTATTCTGGGTTCGATTCCGTGTTCGATGAAATTCAACGAAATTCAACGGAATTCTATCTTTACAATAAACCTTAAGTCAAATATCTTTACAATAAAACAAAAATTTTGCAATGACTAGATACTTATACAAACTCAAATTCAAATCCCTATGAACATAAGTAGAATAGAATTACAACGGAGGGTGTTTCCTATCAAACGGAAACACTATGCATATATTCCATATAGTTCTCCACCTCGTATTTTCTGCAATCCTCCACTTTCGAGTTTCATGAGCACATGAACATCCGCGGCGCACTAATACAACAGAAGATTGCTGCGCGTCGAATATCCAAATCGGGGATCGTCACCCTTTTGCGTCGATTCAGTTCTGGACCGGTTGCTAAACGGGCATTAACTTCACGTGCGATGACCAGGAGGGAATCGTTCGAACGCGCGTCCCCGCGAAGGTCGACCACACCTCCATCTTTTCCTTCTCCCGCGATTCAACTTCAACCCTACCACCAGGCCTGTGGCCTCCTGCGTCCCGTGGTTCGCCCTCTCACTCCCACGATCCCTCCCTTTCCCTCGCTCGACCGGCCTGTCCTCTCCGTTACGCTCGTTCCCACCCTTGCCGTTTCTTCCACTTTCTCGCTCTCTCTCTCTCGCGTAATCTCTCGCAGTGTTTCCATCTACCACTCGCACTCTTGCTCGCTTTATTTTACCTCCTGTACCTCAACGTCTCTCTCATTCCGTCTCTCTGGTCGCCTATCTCTCGCGCACCCTCTTGCTCCTCTTACTCCCCACTCGTTTCATCCGTCCGTACAACCTTCCCCTCCCTTCTGTTTATGACACACTTTGTCTCACCCCTCCTATCCATCCATCCCTCTCTACAGGCCTATCGCATCTCCCTCCGACTCTTCCAAAGAAATCTGCGGTAGCGATAAAAAAGTTTCCGTTCAGATGGAAGCGAATTCTAGGGGTGGGATTTCCGAGACGTCGATCAACTCCAAAATCTATAAATACTCGAGTGCTAGGATTTTTGCGAAGGTGAACGAAACGTTTCGGTGGAAATGCAGGCGCATCTATAATTGACTCGATTACAGCCAGCGAAACCAGGTAATCGCGTGAAAGTATCGGCTCAGAGCTCCCTGGCGGCGGGCACGGAAGTTGCCGCCACGCGTTTCGTATCTTCCATCTCGCATTTTCTCTCGGTCGTACGTCCCGTTTCGTCCGGGCTCCCCTCCCTCGGGAAATTCCCCTCTTTTTCCACCACCCCGGCAGGTAACGCCTTTCTCTTTCCGATCGCCGCGGCGCACGGAGTCCCCCGTCTCGTTCTATTTCTGCGTTTCCCCGCTTCTCGGGTCATCCTCCTCCGTCCCCACCCGGCGCAAGACGTTCCGGGTGTCTTCGTCCGTCGAACCGACACGACTCGCCGTCTCTCGCGGCCGCGTGTTCCTGCACGGACGCGTCTTCGTGGTGGAGAGGCTGCGACTATATTGGTTCCACGTGACTACGCGGCCATCGGTGTTACGCCGCATGGCACGTACGGCACACACGCCGCTCGCTCGCTCTGCTGTCCGAACTTTTATCGTTCGGGGGCGCCATTGTTGCCGACTCGTAAGGTACGGGCCGACCTTAGCCGACGTGGTCGAATTACACGGTGAACTGGCCTTAACGTCGCCGACTGCTCATTCGAACCGATCGGGCGTATTTACAATGGCCCCTGCATTCCAGTTTCTAGAATTCCATTGATCCGCTGCTCCCTTGCACCTTGAACCCCTTGCGACGCGCTCTCGTCGGGAGAGAACGGGGCTTTGGGTGGTTAGAACTTGTTTCACTCTTGCTTTTTAAAGGTTCTTAAGGCTACAGGAAGACAATGGATATTCTTATGAAAGGGTACACTTCTCAATTTCGCGCCATTTCTATCGGAGGGGGTTTATATAGTGTTTCTTTAACCCTTTGTGGACGAATGTCGACATTTTCAGATCAAACTTTCATGTTTGCAGTACCCAGTTGCAAACGAATGATTTCACTGCTGCAACAGCAAGAAATCGGTACATAGTTTCATGTAGCATATTGGCGGAATCTGTAGGTTTCGCATTTTTCACAGAATCCTCTTCCACGAAGGGTTAATGCGTGGAAGATATTCGTCATTTTGATGGCTGCATTAGTTGTAAGCGTTAGATGACTGTTTTTATTAACCAGTTACTAGTTCGCTTTGAATTTGAATTGCTTCTTCACTATTCTGGGATTCTCTGCTTTGCCTGCGTCTGGCTTCAGTGAAGCACACGGCAGAAGGTGAACTTAATTTTGAAGCATGAGGTAACAAAGGTGAGACTCATCGAAAATAATTCCGACGATAATCCTAAACTTTCCGTGAATTTCCGAGACACTTAGGTGGCACCGTGCGATTACCGACACAATAATAACCTGGCGGAATGGCTGCCAGATTTTCAAGATCGTTAAGTAAGCTACCGCATTATTTCGGAGTTCAGCATAGCGTTCGCAGGTGCGAAACCAGTCGAACGACGAGGAAATCTGCCGGGATGCGGGAAAACGTGTTTTTATATGGTAAACCCGGGCCGATAAGCGCAGATAAACGCAGATACTACCGTCTGCGCTTCAAGTGCAATGTAATTATCGGCTCTGGTGTGCCGCGATAGCAAAATATTTGGTTTCGTAAACCCGGAGGATCTACTAATTATTAAACCTTGGCGAACAGCCAACGAAAGGGGGTACTCATAAAGGTATAGATACCCCGCGAGCAACGCAGATTAATTATACAACGAGACAAACTCCATAAACAATGGCCGTCACGGACAAATCTTCCCTCAAACAAACTCCGCAAAGTAAAATCCAGTAAAACATTCTGTCTCGTACTCCAAATAAGAAACAACGCAGTTTCCATTAAATCCACCTGCTCTCCAAAACTCCCAACACCGATAATCGAATGTCCAGTGAAAAATAATTTTACCAAGTAAACCCCACAAATCTTCCCGAGAAATGTCCATCATCGCAACATTCCGCGTCCAACCCGTGGGCACGCGAATTTGCGCAAACATCCACGTCCGATCGCAACGCGTTCCCCGTCCTCGCTTCTCGAAAACTCGGCAGCGGCCGGTGATTCAGCGGAGGGTTTCATAAAGCGAACGATCTTGTGCGGCACTTGCGACACGGCAGATAGCGCCAGATAAGGTGGATAGGAACGGGAGCGTTATTCGCAATATCCGCGCGCGGAGCCGATATCGTGCGGAGCGGATTCGGTTGGAGGCGGTTTAAACCACGTGCTCTGGAGCCGCGCGTGCGCCTATTCATGTAACGACCTTCGTTCTCCTTCCCCTTCGGCCCCTTCGAGGTCCGCGTCTCTTTCTATCGTCCGCCACTCCTTCGGCGTACTCCCCTGCGGCCGCCGCCCCACCTTTCCCTCGGCGCAACGTGGCCTCCCTTCCTTTCGCCGACTCCGCCGCCCCTCCAGGCCTTCTCCAGACGCGGCTTCCCCTCTCCTGGCTCGGTCTCCTCGCGTTCCGCGTGTCGCGCAGCTCTGACACATGCCGAGACTCTATCCTCCTTCCGTTCACCGACTCCCGCGGCATGTTTTTACCCGCTCCGCGGCAAAAGTCGCTTCTCCGTCTGTTTAGGTTGCAACGCGAGGCGGCGAATCCTGGCCGCCTCTTCTCAGTTTCTTTGTACACCGCAGTCTTGTTCGGGTTTTTCTATCTCGCGAGTCGCTTTGTTTAGAAGACACTCGCGGCAATCAGCGGGTTTCTTTCAGTTCCTTTCCGTTGAGTTCACTGGCGGATGGATACTCGTTAAAACTTCCGCACAGGCGAGACGGTTTTCTTAATCTTTGATATACGGACGACTGTCTCCCTCGGGACTTACGGTTTCGATGCTTCGTTGAGATGTTTCCTTAATCCTTTCGGTCATGGCGTCTTCGTATAAGGAGATACTAAGTGACAATTGTGTTGCCATAATCATCAACGTAGCTGGGAAGAGTCCGATTGAATATCTTTGGCTTTGTTTTGTGATAACAGACACCATTGTCAAATAGAATCTATGGTTGTGATTATACGAGGACGTTTGCAATCAAATTTACCGAATTTAGGTACACCAAGCATTTATTTAGTATGTCCTTATACGAGGACATGACCGAAGGGGTTAAAGAACACGGCAAAGTAACTTTGCGAACGTAAATCCGACCATTGTCGACTGCTATGTAAGGGTATTACTTTTCTATAAAAGGGTTAATGAAGCAAAAATTGAAAATAGCGATGCCACTGACTTACTTCTCGCGCATCCAGCAAAATTCTAGCAAGATATTTTTATGTTTATGCAAATGATAGCGTCACTAGAGTTTGGCCGACGCGGCAGTCGAGGGTGTTCAGGGGAGAAGGATCATTCGTTATATTGGCGATCGATATGCGGCTGATTTCGAATGGAGACTTTTATGACTCGAGTACTTCCTCCTGCCGCATTGTTATTGGCGGCCGGCGAACATAAATATTATCTTTCACAGAAATCGGGGAAAGAAATTTATTGACGTTGCGTCGGGTGATCGAAGCCACTTTGAAGGGTTACCGCGCAATTGGGTCAATGTCAAATATTTTTAACAGTTGTAATTAGAGTAATTTGTAGAATCTTAAGGAGTCTGTATAAATGAATATTCGTTAGCACAGTTTTCCAATTGCAACAAAAAAGTCATACATTTTGTTCATTTCCGTAGATCACTCCGTCATTGGCTAGTAGTACAGTTACCGAAAAATCTTTCAATCTGAACGACTAACACGTTTCTCCTAAAAGTTGCAAACGTGCGTTCAAGATTTTACATAACATTCCCCGCGATATGTAATTGACAAAAATCGATATTCTTGTTATTACGTACGCACGAGTAGATATATCCAGTTATATAACTATCAGCTCGTGTTACACGAACGTGTAAACAATCGTTTGAAGAATGAATTAGTGGCCCCTTGTAATCGAAACGACTCTTGTTTCTAAACAGACCCGATGAAATAAAGTTCCACAGAGCAAACAGAAACAGGCTAGAATGATAAAGCAAAGAGAGCAATGATAACCGGCACCGGAAGTTCGCGGGTTGGCACGATGCACGGTCGCCAGACCTGTAGGGTTAACCACCGTACCACGTGTACCGTATCAGTCTTTGTTGATAGCGTTAGCAATCATAGTCGCGTGCGTTTCTTCGCGAAAAATTTTCGCCTGCGCGACATCGTGCTCGCTTATCGTGTTTATCGCGTTCTTTTATCACGGTTTATCGCATTCCGGGCAATGGCGAATTTTTGTAGACGTGCTCGCTGCTGCTCGCGTTCGTTACTCAACTCCTTCATGGAAAGTTCGATGTATCGGTGCTTTCCTATGCAAATGAGACGCAACAAATTTTCATCTGACCGTTACACATTTAACTCTGCGAACGGAGATTCATTTACCCCTTGATCTACGATATCGCGTCGGATCGACGAGAATTTTCAATTGAATTTTGAGAAATTTCAATGTTATTTACTGTTTTTGAATGTAAATGGAATATTACTTTCTTATTATCAATGGTTACCATTTGGAGTAAACGTAGACGTAGAACAAATATCTTTTCTTTTTTTAATTATTAACGATGAAACATCGATCATAGTTACGAAATCAAGGCAAGGGGTTAACGTGTAGGTACGAAACCTACAGATGAAGTCGAGTTAACTATGCTTCAATCATAGATAAAAAAGAATGTGTACTGATCTTTTGCTGTTCGAATGATTAAATCATTTGCAACTTAGTACTCCAAATATGAAAGTTTCATCACAAAATGTCGACGTTCGTCCCCAAAGGGTTAAAGACGCTTCGTTCCTCGTGCATTATTTTGAATGTTATTTGATAATTAATAGTTTCCGTTTCTGATTGAGACGAATTAAAATAAGCGAATCGATTCGAGAAAGATACAGCCTTTTTACAGTTGTCAACGAAGGCTTTCGAACGAACAAAATCATCGTTTCAGTTGCTCCCGACTAATTCGAGGTTATTGGAATACTTGTTATCATCGATGATTATCTTTCACGTTCCGAACATATGGCACAGCTGAAAAGTGTCAACCATAAGGTTTTCGTCGGTTACGCGAAGATGACGATACCGCCACTAGTTTTAATTAATTACTGCGGAATGACTCATAGTTATGCATGAGAATATTCAGGTAGGCTTTAACGTCGCGTCATCGTGTGGAATTAAGAAAACGTCGAAATTAATCAAACTTATTGCATCTGGACAACAGCTAATACTCTGAGAGACACGTGGAATACTACAGTTACAAAAAGATCATCAAAATATTCTAATTACTCTAATCACTAACTCCTCCAGTTAGTTTCACAAGATATCGTCTTCAACTCATCAGAAAATGTTCAAATACGTCTACCTAAAAACTTCCAAATACAAAGGGTTAATAACTAAACAGAATATCATCTATTCCATTCAAATTTACAACAATCAGAAAATATCAAACAATCGACTTGACACCGCATTAGCTAGAGGGACTCGTAAATACATAGTTCTACTGCAAGAATTCGTTTCTCAGAAAATTCTTGGTGTAATCCGAATAAAATGTGGTTCTCCCGAAAGCCTCGATTCCATCGTGTCGAAAAATCGGCGCATCACGTCGCGTCGGTCCGTTTATCGTCGAGCAGGCTCGATCTGCGTGACTCGCCGCGCGTCGAAGCGCACGAATCGGGGCGCACTTGATCAGATTTAAATTACACACGTAAAGAATTACGTCCTTGCATTTTTTCTTCTCTCTTTTTCTCCCTCCCCCCTTCTTCCCGCGTTCCTCGTCGAGTTCCTCGGAAGCGTGCGTGTACCGGTCGGCTGTTGGTGTTCATCGTCACGTGCACGTTCCTCCACGCGTGTTCGTGCTGACGTCAAACCGAGCCTTATCGTATTTCGAGGGAGAGGTGTCCTGAATCTGCAGGAGTATCGTGTGACGTTCGCGCGCGCGCGCGCGCGTATTCTTGAAAGTAAAGCGAAAATATTTCTATCGGCTTTCTCCCGCTTTTCTCACGTGCCAGTCGCGATAGCCGATCCGAAAAAGAACGGAGTCGATTGTCGATTCGAGAGGCTAATGATCGCTTAAATTTCACTGTTTCGAGTACCTGCGGTGGAATTTAACCGAGCGGAAAACAGGAGGAAGCTGTTTGCTTCCGTGAATTGACTCGAGCACAGGCAGAAGCCAGAGAATCGATATAGTTGGTGGAAACGGGTTGACAGAGTGCATTGGGGGTCGAGACGTGCTACTTCAAAGCGATGCCGCACGCGTCGAACGTAAAGATGCAACGAAGGAAGTTTCAATTGCAGGAATTTTAACCTTATCTTCTGAAATGTAGTGAATTTCTGGGATTGCTCTGATTAAAACGAGCCCAAACACGATGGAAATCGGACTAGTTTATATTACCACTTAATGTGATCAACGAAATTAAAGGTTTATTTCCCCTAAATCGATGAAACTACATATTGAGGTCTTCGAAAGACCTTGTCACTGTTCGTCTCCGTGACTTTTTATTCAGCCTTCGTCTTGTAAGTTTGAGTTGTAATTAATATTGGTATCGAGCTTTGAAAGTTTCTTAGACTACTTAGACTGCTGAACGTTCCTGCTCCACTTTGGGAGGAAATTCAGTTAAAATGAATAATGAGATCTGGAGTAAATCGTGACAAAATGGTGAAATGATGGAGAAGAAGTGGAATTCGTGAGGTAGACTCTATAATCGGAATAGACAACGGTGTCGTTTGATTAAATGACATTTTCAAGCGCGACGTGAGGGAGAAACAAACTTTAGGATATTATATTTATCGATGATTTCCACGATGGATCAACGGTTAGGGTACGTTCGACTCGCAGACGTTTCATGAGTGTCGCTGATCTCTCTGTTGCAGGTGTTGAGGAAGAGAGAACGAGATTACGAGCACGAGATGGAAAATCTTGCCAGGGAAAAGATTGCCGCCCAGCAAAGATTATTAGCTTTAAAGAAGGAGCTCACAGCCACTTGGGATCATATTGATTTTAATACTCTTCTGCCGGAACAGAATTCGGCTACCGACGTGACAGCTACGAAAAGTGGTGAGTTTCCGCGAACATGTTACCTTCAAAATACAAATATTTCAAACGAAAATCATTGTTTCACTTAATATGAAATTCAATCGTGCTCTACGAAACAAGCAATAATGTTCAAAGATGCTTGATGTAAAGAGTAGTGCTAAATGAATTTCTTGAATAATTTCTCAGAGAAACATTCGTTACCTTTCTAATAATTGCAAACAGAAGACATCAGTCATGGGTCATTTGACCCCTCTGGTAGTCTTAGTGTTAACCCTTAGAACTCTGTAGGCTCCAATATTGCACCAGGAATAGTATTAGATATTTTAACGAATCAAAGAAACTACCCCAAAATTATTCGATTTTCACATCCAAATCTTGTACCAGGAAAATAAAAGATAGAAGAAATGTTATAGCATTTCTCATTTTCGCTAGGGATACTATAAAAATTAGTTGCTGATAGATTACAAAACCATCCGTAGTGCTAAGGGTTAAAAAAACAGTTTTTCCATTGAAAGAAATTGCAATTCGTTGGAAAAGTAATTACAAGTGACACGTGGCACGTTTATGTGAACGAATCTTTTTGGAAGTTTCAGAGAACATGGAGGTTGACGTGACGGGGCTCGCTCGGGGAGGCACGAGGTACAGTAGTACCAGTAGCCTGAGCAGCGCGGCCACAGCCAGTTCACCGCAAACACTTCAAACCACCAGCACCACTCCCAATATTCATAATCAAGTCGCGACCGCGGCTGTTGTCTGTCAGACTCAAGGTCTTAACCTTGCGCAAAGTTCTAGGGAAAGTCCACCGGCAAGTTCAAGTCCTGGAACGCCAACGCCTAGCATTCCTACCCCGGCACAGGTAAATTCAACAGTCAACGAAGAAAATGTCTGTGACAGATTCGTTTCCGTGCGGGGTGTCTCAATTAACATAACTTGCCCCAAAATATCTCCATTGCCTCTACCATCGCAGAGTATTGTCTTACCCTCTCGTTGAGCACCAGCTGCCTTACCCAGTTTTTGAAATGGTAATGAAATTAGCAAAGTTATCAGTATTTTTATAATAAAATGCAATAGCGTCTTTTACAGTGCTCTGATTGTTTTAATGGGATGCAAGTAACAAACCAAGTAACTGAATGTAGTAAAATTGTAATTGTATTTAATATTTGAATATCATGTTGTTGCACGCTATTGAATTTATTGTACAATAAGGTACAGAGAGAAGAAAATTGAGTATGGAATAAATGGCCCCAGTGTTGTGCCTGTGGTAACACTGCTTCTTTCACTCATCAGTGAATTGCTTTATTTAATAGATACATACATATCATGTTAAAAGTTACGGAAATGTTGTAGGTAGTTATGGTAATCAGGACATCCTATGTTTAAGATAAAAAAAGGGGATTTTGGGACGGATAGATCAGCTCCATTGGTTAGACACTAGCTTGGTAATCTCAGGATTCTGGGTTCGAATCCCGGTCAGGTAAACTCTGATAACAACACAGTATTTAGGGAAAATGACTTTCTTTTCGCAAGAGAATATCCCCCGAGTGTTTGAAGCACCGACTAGCCCGTTGGGCACAACGTGACTATATTAGCGTTTGTGTGTGAAACGGTGCAACAGAAAACACGCGGCTTCTATATGTAACTAACTATTTATACATCATTGTGTAAATGGGTTATATAAGTGCGAACACATTATTTTTTTACATTAGAATAAATGAATTTCAGAGTCGGTTTCGAATTTCAATGAACTCGCTCTGTAATAACATTCTAATCTATTCAAAGCAAAGTAGACGAATAAATTTATGAAAGTCTATTGTGCACGAAATTTGTGAATCTCGAGTCTAAGAATCGAAACAGTTCAAGGAATTAAAAATCTTGCTCGAATAGAAAGATACGTGCAAACAACTGAATGATAAATAATGATCTTAGAGGGTTCAGACATTGGGCCTTATCTGTAGAATTTGCTATTTGCGAATACTGTTTTTCATAAACACAAGAATACTCCTTGGCCTTGTATTCCATTGAACATTTAACATAAAAATACAATGTTACCAGAAGCTTAACCATTCGTTAATTTCAGGAGAAAGTGAACACATCACCCACCGGTATAGTCCAGCAACAGCACCAGCTGCACCTGCCAATCAGCGCTCAGATGTTGAACACGAATCAAGGCTTGGCAACGATCGTACCGACGCTCCAGCACATCGGGCCGAGTTTGAGGGTGATACCCGGCGACACGAGGCAACTTCTGGTCGCTCACACCGCCGGGAACAACGAGTCCAGACCGTTGACGTTGGCCGTACAAAATTCTTCGGATCAATCGAGGCCGCTGATCGCTGTGCAATCGAACACTGGAAGTGAGCCAAGGCCTGTGGCGCTGGTCGTTCACTCGTCCACGGCCAACGACAACAGGGTAACGTTCGTGCATTCTAATCTGTCCAACAACGATAGGCCGTTGGCCTTAGCCGTGCAGTCGTCCGCCAATGACGTCAGGCCAGTTACATTTGTGCATTCGACGAACGAGGGAAGGCCGTTAGTTCTCGCTGCGCATTCTCCTGCACTGAACGTATCCAGTGAGTAGCCTCTGATCTTATGGCCAAAATACTCGTAGACAGTTCCCGGATAGCCCCCCGAGATCGATTCTTCATTGGAATTCGAAGATCATTGTGAACTAAGATAGAGAACGGTTTCGCTAGACACTTGGGGCGCCTATCGGTTCTGTTTACTTCAAGCATTGCATATAAGTTACTTTAACCCTTTGCGGTCTATTTATTTATTCGAGAATATTTGTGAGTCATTGAAATGTTACCTTTAAACCTTTGCGGACGAAGACTCTTTAAAGTAGACGAAGCTTGGAACATTGAAGCAAAATTATACATCGAATGCTTAAACAATAGTAAAAAGGGAACTATGCACTGATCACTTGCTAATGAAGTAATTAAGTCATTCGGTTGCAACTTAGTATTCCAAATATGAACGTTTCGTCTGATCGAAATGTCGACATTCGTCCGCAATGGGTTAAATGGTACAATTGTGATACTACAAATAAATATAGAAAAAATCGTTAGAACTTTTTTTTTTGTTAATTATTAAGGGGTAATGTTACTTTGAACGATTATACGTTTGGACAAAGTTTGACGTTAAGTCCTGAAGATTTTAATGGAAGCATGATCCGTTTTATTGTGTTCTGGCAGTGTATTCTAATATGCAGTAATGTCTAGACAATAAAATTGTGTTACAGACGCTCAAACGAGGATAAGAGCAGGGGATACACAAAACACGCATAAAATGGTTGGCGGTGTGACACTGGTCGGCGGAAATGGATCAGAGCTGACAAGATTACCGGGTGGCGCCGAATTAAACATACTCCCAGCAAATGGTATGCTTAATTTTCAACGTATTCGATTCCCCTTCGTTTCCTAGCATTATTATTTCACGAGACATGTTTGCAAGTTCTCCGCTCGCGCATGGCTTGGGAATTTTAAATGTTGTACCTTCTTGACGACTTCGTACAGTAACACCCTTAACTCGGATAGTAATATACAGTATTACATTACCGTACATATCGAGAGTAAATATTGGAGGGCCGAGACTAGCTGTCAAGTAAAGAAGAATATTATTTATTGCAAAGTCCTGTAAACTATCACATGTACACAACAAATTGTATATAATATTGTGTGCCTTTTAAACATGGAAATGGCTGTATTAATTAGCATTTATAAAGATTTATTTGTTTATGTATTATATTAAAAATGAATACAGTTTTGTTTGCATTCATTTCTTTAATGTACCCTTTTTCTAATTATTCTAGTGAGAAATTAATACGTCCACGGTTCACTGTTTCACCACGGAAATAATCATCACGTCGAACGCGTTAATATTTATTTAATTCACGATTGAACAATATTTTTCTTCGTTTTTTATGAAAGTAGAATTTAAAAGGAACGTAAATTCTTATTAGCATTGCAGTAACTTATAAAAAAAAAATATCTTCAATTATACTTTTTAAAATATAGTGTGGGATTTAGAGTTTTAGTTCATCTTAAACGATTTAGTAAAGAGGTACGAGTGGATCGCCTTGTAGTCATGGTGCTTAAGGCACAGTTGGCCAATCGACGGATGTTTCTTCAAGCGTCGTAGGTTCGAGTCCCCACTACCACCACACCACCGCGTGTTACCGTGCGGAGGGGTTTGTTTTCGTTCCCTTCCCTCTCTTCCTGTTTTTCCTGACTCCTCTTGCAAGGAACTAGTACGAAATCGGCAATCCCAGGCACCAAGCAAGGTCAGGTGCGCACCTATTGTGCGTTTCTGGAATGCTATGGTGCGAGATTAAAATAATTTCATACTTAAGCAGAACGATTCGGACACCCTTATAACGCAATCGTTTTGAAAATGACTGACATTCTAATTTTATTTTTTCACGTCGCGTAAAATTCTCGGTTAGTTAGTAGATTTTAATAAATCATTTTTCCAAATTACATTCCACTCATCAAAACGTTCTATAGAAACTCCGAGAGCTTATTAACCCTTTGCGGACGAAGATTCTTTGAAATACACAAGAGCTTCAGCAGATAAAGCTGAATTATATATCAAATCCTTAATTAATATGAAAAAAGGAAACTGCGCGATGATCTCTGGCTGTTCGAACACTTATCCAACGTTATCCAAGTGCAGTGTCGTTCCTCACCAGTTAGTCGTTTTCGTGTTCATCGAATAAATTGTTTGAAATCATGCAGTATCGAGTCATCGCACAACGCGTCACTATAACAATCGAATCCCGAGTTGTCTCCGACGAATACTCACGTCCGGAGAATCTAAATAAATTCCGGCGAACCGTTGCCGAGCCACCATAGTGACGCGTTTGTTGTTGCGGGTTGCAGGATTGACGCTGAGCCACGCAGGTGTGTCGCTGCAAACGGCAACAGGCAAGCCAGGCTCCACAGTGATGCAGAACGCTCCGTCCACAGAGGGTATAGCTCACATCGTCGGCTCGCACACGCCGCTGTCCGGGCTGACGCCGATCGTGACGCCGATGACCGTCGTCTCGCAGGGGAGCCAGGTGACCGCTCACATCCTGGCGCCGTCGAGCCTCGCCGGGAAGATGATCACCACGCCGATCCTGAAGTCGGTGGCGCAGATGCCGATCGTGAACGCCCAGTACATCAACACCACCACCCTGGTGAAGCCGGTGGTGGTGGTCAGTTCGCCGTCGACCTCGACGACGGCGCAGTCGACGACCGCCTCCAGCACGCAACCCTCGTCGACCACGCACTCGACCGTCTGACAGAATCAACGGAAGCTGAAATTCGTTTGAGGAAAGACTATGCCACGTGGGCGCGAGGTCTCAGCGCGGGCCAACGGAGGCCGCGGCGGCTCGTTTCGCCGTTCGGCGTCCTCGACGCGAGTCGAACCGGCGGCCGCGTGAAAAGGACGGACGTGCCGGCGTCGGGCCGAGGAGGAGGGGTCGAGGGGTCAATCGCGGCTCGGACGGACGCGATCGCGGAGCTTTCCGGCGGACACGGAGCGGACGCGAACCAGCGCGGAGGACACTCGCCGCGAGACGCTCCCCACATCGAACGAGAGTTTTCTATTTTCGAGACGTTCAACTTTGCGTTCTCCTTTCGATCATGTTCAATTCGACGGTTTTCGCGCTCTTCCGAAGAGTGAGCCGACCGAGACGGCGTTGGGAACCCCTTGCCCGACTTGCGCGATTGCTCATGGTACCCTGAACGGAGACGTCGAGCTGGCCGGCGAACGCTCGACCGTCGCGAGAACGTCGCGACCAGGCAGCTGACGAGTAAACGAAACGTCGAGTTTTTCGGAATTCTAAATTTCATCCGGAGCAGTTTTAGGAATTGTCCGGTTCGGACGCGATCGATTCGGAAATGTTCCTTTTACGAGTGCACGAAATTCTTGATAGAACGAGGTTCCTGCGCAAGCATATTGTTCAAGGATTGGTTTTACGTAGAATGTTGATACGTTTAATATTGTGTAATACTCGCGATCCTGTAAATTGACCGGGAGGACTCGCGACGCGACCCCGTACTATTTTCTCGGTACCTTGTTGCAATCGGGGAAGTTCGGCAAAAGTTCGGGAGGAAGGAAACAAATAATGACTGTGTTTAGAGTGATGTTAAATTAAAGAATTCGTATGATAAGATCGGTTTATTAGATGTTTTCGAAATTTATCGGAATCTTGGAATTGAATGAATGGTATATGCTTGTTCTTTTCTTTTTCTTTTTTGTTTTTCTTTTCTTTTCTTCTCTCTTCTTTTCTTTTCTTTTCTTTCTTTTTTAAATTAACGTATACAGTGGCTGTGGAGAAAAACGATTATTAATGAACTTTATCATACGCCTGCGTTTACTTTCGGGAAATTACATGGGTCATACGAATTTCGAACCTTCGTTTCGCCGAGAACACGCCGGGGAACGCACTCGTCGTGCTCGAGTATTTATTCGCTTATATTTATTTTACAAATATAATTGAGCACGCGCCGTGCGTTCGACTCGGCCGTTGAATGCATTCAGGGCAGCACGACTCGTTGCAGGGATTTCACGAAAAAGAGGAAAAAAGTAACATATTATTCTTGTTAAAAGAGAGAGAACGTTAAGGAAATAATTGTTAATGACAAAAATCGTTTCGGTAACGAAGAGGTGTGTCTGATTATGATTTTGTCGGTGGGAATTTCTTGTTATCCTGAATGTGTTCATTCTGATACCTTTATCGGGTTCATTTCAATGACGCTGAGCTGTGACTTGAAAAAAAGAATGAAATTACACGAGTAACATGACGCGTACGGTTTAGAGGTAGTTCGTTTCCTGAAACATTGGTACACGCGTCGGGGAACGGTGATAAGCAAAAAAGAGAACCGGAACTACTTGTATACGCGTATTCGTTTACCGTACTATTTTAAATCACTTTCCTCGCGAAAGTGAATATCGATGTTTCTTCTTGTGACATTATTGTTTCGAGCTTTCATTTGATATACTCGATACGGAGACCGTTAACTGAAATGAATGGGTTGTCTTGGGAAACTCTGAGCATACACTGGAACGATGATTTTTTTTACGCCGACAGTTTTTGTTACGAGTCGTGGAAAATTGTTTTCTCCCGAAGAAACGCACCGCTCGTAATAGTTGCGCGTGCAACGTTTAAAAACGTTTGTTCTTTCAAGATGGCGGAACGGTTAGCTGACGCGCAACGTTGAAATCGGGAGCTAACTTTGTGATTTTATTAAGCGGATAGATCGATTACGCGTTGTATTCGATTGATTCTGCTACTTGTGATTGTTTTTTATATTCCGAATTGGAATTAAAGTTAAAATTGAATTCGGAGATGTTCAGCTGTCGCTTCATTCGCCGGATCGGAGGAAGACGGTAACGCGTGGCGCTTGAAAGCCGTATAATCATCGCGAACAATGCGTTCTCGTCGTGGAAATTGATAACGAAACATGTCAACGTACTGTAAAACATTGGCGCAGGCCGGGAATAATTCGAATGTTTCGATGAGAAGTTTGTCTAACGGTTCAAGTCCACGAAATTCTGATACCGCGTCGTTCGAGATTCCATGTTTTAATATTTCAGGAAGAAAGACTCAGTGCAGTTGTGCGAAGTAAGCTCTCTCTCGACGAAAAGTCTATGATATTTTTTAAACGATTTTCCATGCACTTCTGCAACACGTAACGTCGCCAATGATTTCTTACATTTCTTGTTTCTTTTTTCCGAATCCAAAGAAAAGTCAGTGTAACTCTTTCACGAATTGTATCGTGTCAGCAATTACCGAGTATCCTCAAACCGTTTGGTCAAAATTTATTACGCTTCGCCAGTGGACATTGTGAAATTCAATGATTTTATCACACTCACATTTTTCTAGATTATTTTACGGGAGCTAGGATCGTGGATAAAAATTGGTTTAACGGTGAACAAGTTTATAAGACCAAATTAGCTAGTTTTGAAGTCTACAGATATTCAGAAATTGTTTATAAAGTTTGACCAAATATTTGCGAACAGCATACGCTCCGATGCATCACTCGAATTATAATTTCCGAAAAAAGAGGATTTGTAAGAGCAGATTAAGTTTCTTATCAGCAGCATCGGGAATGCCTAAAAATACGGGGGGAAAGGTCAGGGATATATTATTTTTGTATCGAAGCACTGTTCGAGTACCTAAACGAGAAAGAAAACTGTCGAATCCGCGAACGACGCTGAAACGGGAAAAAGAAGATCCTGATACGCGGTGCAAGCGTTGACGTGTAAATCTGTTTCTTTTTCTTTTTCTTTTTTTTTTACAAACGTGCGTGTGTGAGAGTGCATGTGACATATTAACGGTCTCTTTGAAATATCACAATTTGTACACTAGTATTATTATTATTTGTATCTGCGTATGCATACACGTATACCTTGTTTTCTTTTTTGTATTTTTTAAATTATTTAATCGAAGGCTCGGTCTGTCAGTTGGGCTGACGTGTTATGTATGTAATACGCGCGAACGCTGTGTCTTTAGGTCTATCAACAAATTCGTCGAAGATTTTATTAAGTTATTGGTTAGCGGAGAGCAATATCGTTTTTCTTTCGTCGTTTTCTTCTTCTTCTTTTTTTCCTTTTTTATATTTCCTGTGAAACGACACGCCCGGAACATCGTAGAACTTCGTATCTTCCGATGCCAATGGAAACGTCACCTTAGTTCGACGGAACGTCGCCCTAGAATCATTAGACTGAAGTTTCAAAGCCGACTCGAACGACGGTCAAGCGGCTCGCTGTAATCGGGGGATCACGGGTGGTTCCGGGGTCGGTCCTCTGGAACGAGGAGCGTCGGTGACGAAAGAAACGCTGTGTATTTAATATAGAAATATTTTTATCGCTCGGCTGACTCGAATCCGTGCACCGGTGTGTCCGCCGACGTACACCGAGCTGCACGGTCGCTCGACTGCGTGATCCCCCCGTTGCTTCGAGCAGCGCGTGGAATCGGTCCGTGCGACGCGTCGTGTCGACGACGCGACAGCAACAAGTTCGTTTTCGAAACAGAGAGACAAAACACGTTAAGCAATAAAAAGAGAAAAAAGGTATGAAGCTATACACTTGCAGTCGCGTGCGTTCGAGCTGGAATTTATGGAACTGTCGCGAGTTCCGCGTGGAATGGATCGAGCACGACGAACGATAAACTTTAGCGACAATAGTACTACTAAATTAGTAGATATCTCGATTAGCAACGCTACTGAATCAGTAGTCTCGGTGAACGCGCAAAGTATGCTGTGCGATCGAACGGAACATGCAGTCCGCGGTGGAGCAGAGGGGATCCCTCGAGAGTGTCAAAAGTGTATCAAAGAGTTTTTCGTACGAGGCTTGTTTTTTTAAAACGAACCGAACGCTGGACGGTCTCCGGCTATGTACGCACTCGGTGACCATTACTGTAATCGAAAGAAAATGAATTGATTGCTCAAGGCCATTGAAGATTTATTTAACTGTCTTCACTGAAACGTCTCTGCAGCGACAGGCAAAGGTATTTGTACAGTGAGCGTACCGCAGGATCTAATTTGTCAATATTAATCGTAATACACTAATAATATTGTACATAAACTTCTATAATTTAGGCTTTCTTATTTTGTATAGTACGAATGATTCAAGTAATCGACGACTAAAGCATTCGAACGGTGTCAATGGAATATTCTTAATGTTACGGTTAGCATTTTGTACAGCTTGGTTAACTTTAATATCGTCAGTGACGTTAAAGATAAGTTATCGTAGAATACGGAGTCAAGTAAGTTCTCGGATACTGCTAGGTATAAACACGACGTGCAATGTCTATTAAACTTTACTCGGTGAGACGATATACTGTTCCACTTTTTGTAAAAAATCGGCTACCTTATAGTTACATTGTATTCGGATTTGTTGTTAGGAAAGTTTATGTACAGTACAGAATCGCATAGGATGTCTCTGGGAAGTTTTTGTATGCCAAATAGAAAACGACTGTTCGTCAGCAAAGAAAATTAAGGAACTTCACGATCACACCTCCTGCGATGTTTCTGCATATCAATGATTTCCTTTACATCGTTCTCGTCTACACTCGATGTCCTCGTAATGTTGTTGAATACACATTAAATCTATTACCAATATCGAACAGTATATTATTATAGAAAACTGTACGAGCATTTATTTCCGTTTATGCGTTCCGTTTTAAACAAAGCTGAAGTGCTGCATGCAGAAACTTTTTGGAGCCAGTGTATAGGCAGATGCAAACACCTACTAGTATATATATATTATAAATATACATAAATACAAATATTTATAATATATATATGTTACAAATGTAGTTTTCTCATGCGCTTATTTCGACTGTACGAATACTTTTGTTCCCTGCTGTACCTTTTCGCTGCAATCTGTCGGTCCTCTGTCTTTCAGGTAGACTTTCGAGTGGTCTATTAGAGAAACAAGTCGAGATAACGTAGAATTAGCGACTTTGATTGATACGACAGCCTCAAGTGGTTCATTTTAATCGTTAACGTTCAATGTCAAATGTTCATTACCTGAATTATACGCGTACTCGACAATCCCGAAGGTTTTCGTTCCGAAAACTCGTTGACAAAGAATCACCACCCCTTTTTGTACGTACTACGAGCTACCTTTCACTTTTCACGATCATTGCTTATCATTTGCGACACTGCTTCTTAGTCCGATAGCTACGGTGACTTTTTCACGTTTTCTTTCTGCGGCTTGTACAACGCAGATACGAATGCTTCTGAGGCGTCGATCGTTCGCATCTCTTCGAACCGATAGAGCGATGCTTCGAAAATCGCGTGCGCGTTCGAGCAGCTTCCGTAGTCCGGAATTGCTTCCAATTCGAAAACGTTGCGTGCCGATTCACCGGCGAGAACGGTAATTACGATTTCTTTGGAGCAATTCAGTCGAAAGGGTTCATCGGCATCCGCGAGCTGTCGAACAAAATGTCCTCGTTCCTCTCCGTGTTCGAACACGATTGCATTTGGACAATTTTCCAACATGCTCAGAACAGTGCACGCCACGCCGACGAGAGTTAAGAGAGAGTTCGGTAATTTAGGAAACGAAGGATCAAGTGTTCTCGTTCGAGAACTTTTCGGCTGGTTTTTCCCCGGGAACCAGGCATCCAACGAAAACATTTCATTCTGCATTTTGTACTCGCATCCTCTCGCTGCCCGCGCGCGGCACGTCGCTATAATCAAAATTCAAGGAATGCCCGAGTCTCGCTGTACAAAGTTAGAGAGAAATACACGTTATCACGCCTCTTAACTTCCGTCAGCGCGTGGACGTCTTGTTGGCCTAATGACACAAACGTAACCGAAAATTGTCCAAATGTAACGTTACAGTTGTCACAAAAGAAAATCGGTGAAAGTAAACAACGTACCGCGGAACTTTATGCGAGTTTACACTTTTATAGGTAAATCCGATGAAATCGAAATCGAAAGATCCTCTCAGCCTTCGTGAATACTTTGAGAAAATTCAAAAAAAAGCCACGAAATTTCAATGAAATTTAGTATTCTAGAATTTTTGTAACTTTTTATATACACCACGAATGCATAGAGTTCCGCGGTGAAGCGAGAAGCATGATGTTCGCGTTGCGTTGGTAGTCGGAACAGTACGCTCCAAAATGGCCGCCATTGGCGACGAGTATTTCCATCGAACGAAGCTTGCTCGACGAGCGACTGGAGCGATTTTCGAAGCACTGCTGTATCCATCGGTTTCCGTTCTTCGTGTATGTTTTTCCATTGACCGAGCTCAATGATGCTTGACGAAAACATATCGAGCACGCTTTCCTTCGAGCCGGGTTCGGACAGAGCGGTCGTCCATTCGCCGGTCGCGGCCCGGCTCGATCGTCTATCGAGGGAATGCGTCTTCAGATTCGCGCGTATTTCGAGCGTAGCGAGAACCATCGATCTTCGAATGACAGAAAACTCAATATTCTCTTGTAATTTCGCTCGGCCGCAGAAAGTGCCGGAGAAAATTCAACTCAGCGCGTGCGCGCACTAGTCATTTCGTTCCCTCCTTGCAAACCTGACTAAACGCAGATCCATCGGGCTCTCTCGAACTGAAATTCGGCACTTTTCTCTGTTCTTCTTTATTTCCTGTAAGTTAATCCGATCCTGAGGTCGTGCAATGGATGTAAATAGTCGTACTAGATGTCGGGGGCATTCTTAAGCTGCATAATCGGGAAACAGACGCGAGACCGTAGGAGGAAGAGTGGCAAACGGAGGAGGATCACCGTCAATTCGAGTTTGCTGATCGCAAATCGTGCGCCGGGTTTAATTGGCTTCAAATAGCTTCGCGAACTTCGGAAAGAACGATTCGCGACTGTTGCGAGATCGACTCTGAGAGATCTAAAGCGAAATCCGCGAACTGTTCGGTCGGTTTACTGCTTCGGCTCGAGATTCAAAAGGAATCGGCGAACGAGTTCGGTTCGTTCGTCTTTCGAATCGTCCGGTTTGCGTTCAGCCGAGACAAAAAGGAGACGACTTAAATCGCGAATCGCGGGGAGACGCGGTCGCGTTCGCTGTCGAAGGACTGGTACAAAATGGCGACTACCGAAACAAAGATGCGAGGAAGATATCCGTTTTCGTTGTTATCATTTCTTCCCCTTGTCTTCTCTTTTGTTCTTTTCTCTCTTTTTTGTACATAATGTTCGCCGGTCGGCGGGAAGGAAACGGCGGACGATCGATCGGCGAGGGCGGAGAGAAAGTATATGATTCGACGAAACACGCGCGGGGAATTATTATGTGTACATGAACAATGTGATATAAGTAATTAATTGAAATTACTTAGCACTGTAGCGTTTAAGAAACAAAAAAAACTGTTAAACTGTTTACAGCGTAGACGTACGATGCTAATTATTATTTACTAACATCCTAAAAAGAAGAGGAACCGTAAGGGGAATGTAATTGTACATAGAATTTGCGCGTGGGAGGGAGAGAATGGGAGAGAGAGAGAGAGAGAGTGTGTGTGTGCGTGCGAGCAGAATGATCGAGAGCGTGCGTGGCAGCGAGAAAAAGTAAAGAAAGTGTGAGATCACCTGGGGCGGAGGGAGGGGGGTAGAAAACGAGAGAATCACGGGGTGTAACGATATCGAGTACGAGGAACAAAAGTGTGAGGAATACGAATAGCGAGAGATAGAGAGATAGAGAGAGAACGAGACCGGCGACAGGCGAGAAGTATCGAATGATTGTAACGGGGTACGAACTTTCTTTTCTTTTAACGACGCTCGCCGTCGTGTATATATATATCTACTCGTGATAGAGCCTGTAGATTGTA